ACCATTTTACCCACACAAGCAAATCCTAAACCACTGTTTGGTTCTCAGAAACTTGATGCCAACCTTACTTAAAAAGAACACTAAGAAACCGAAGCAAGATAGACCATAAGTAGTCTGCATAGGCACTCATCCCCTTGGAGAGGAGGTGATCTGTGTCATTAGAAGGTCGAACCAAAGCGTCTTTTGACTTCACTGAGCATGGAAGAAAGGCAAGGCTTTCTATCCCCATAAAGATTTGCAGCCTGGGAAACCTGCAGGGCCAGCTCTCTGTACTTGAGGGTTGCTGTGAGTAGGAACAGACTCATTGGCAGTGAGGGGTGTTGGAGCTAAGGAGATAGTCAGATTAATATGAGTAAAATAACTCCAAACACCATAGCTCTAAAGATAATATGCTTTCTGAGCCAAAGGAGGAGATCAACCCCCATCTCTTTTTAAAAAAGCCTTTGTTTACCCATGTTGTTGGGAGTAGTTAGGCTTTCTTTTCGTCTCTCTTGGTGGTCTTTTCTTTGATGAGCTTGTTAGCAAAAAGTGATGAGAGTGTTTCTCCAGTTCTTGCTCTTAGACATGCAGTGTAGGCCATCGCAGGAGGAGAACCATTGCCTTTTAGGAGACTCCAGACCGTAGCAACCCCGTAGGGCAGAATAGAGCTGCCCAGAGGCTTTCCAAGGCTGAGTCTGGACAGCAGCAGACTGCCTCGTCCTGCTTATCGCCAGCAGCTGGTGGCTCCTGATATTGAGCAAGATATTTTTTGAAAAGAGGAACCTTTGAATCTCATGGCCGCTATTCAGAAAAATGAAAGACTCTTGCTGCTACGAAGAGGGTAAAACACTCACCATTTGCAGGTGGAAACCTGGAAGGCTTGAACATGAGGTAGGCCCATGGTGCTAGCAAAAGAAGGTTAGAGAAATGTGGTGGTCTGCGGTGGGTTTCCTGCCCCACACCTCCCAAATCACTCAGTACATGTAGTGTATGGCCATCAAGTTTAGATACAAATATAGAAAGAAATGTGTGTCTCTAAAACCCACCAGCTGGAAAGACTATTTTAGGAATCACAAAAGAAAACACTAGTAAAGGGTTTCCAATGTCTTGTTCAGAATTAAAACTTGAACTGCACTATGCACTTGACCAGGCATCGCCTGTCTTGGGACGAGGAACAGGAAAAGTCCTGGCGAGCACAACCTGCAGGATTCCTTACCTGCTTCCTGAGCTCTCTGACCTCCCCACTGGCATGCTGCCTGGCTTCTTCTTAAACTCCACTCGAAAGTTAAGGATTTTCCGCGATCTTCTGAAACGTACCAGGGTTTATCCTGTTGCGTCAGGTCATGTCGAGTCATTTCTGACTCACAGTGACCCTGTGGACAACAGAAGGGAATGCTGCCTGGTCCCGCGCCTTCTTCACAGTTACTCTTAGGTTGGAGCCACTGTGTCAATCTAACTTGTCCATGGTCTTCCTCTTTTGCTGCCCCTTCACTTTACCAAGCTCAATGTCCTTCTCTACATACTGATCTCTCCTGACAACATGTTCAAAGTACGTGAGACGAAGTCGTTCCATCCTTGCATCTAGGAGCTTTCTGGCTGTACTTCTTCCAAGAGAGATTAGTTTGTTCTTTTGGTAGTCCATGGTCCTTTTAATATTCGTCATCTGCACCATAACTCAAATGCATTGATTATTCTTTGGTCTTCCTGATTCACTGTCCAACTTTCACATACATGTGAAGCAATTGAAAACACCATAGCTTGGGTCAGGCGCACCTGGTCTTCAAAGTGACGTCCTTGTTTTTCAGCACTTTAAAGAAGTCTTGTGCAACCACCCAGTGCGATCATGAGGTGTCATCAGGACCGGGTAATAGGCATCAGAAGACCCATAACAAATAAACAAACAAGCAAAAAAAAAAAACCCAACTAAAACATATTGTTGAGAACGAGGGGGATTTGAGCAAAGACCCAAAGCCCATCTGTAGACAATGGTACATTCCATCCCCCCACAGAGGGGTCACAGGGAAGGGATGAGTCAACCAGGGTGCAGTAAAGCACCAATGGAACACGCAGTATTCTTCTGGTTCCTGAGGCTTCCTCACCCCCCACTCTCATGACCCCAGTGCTGCTTCTCACTCTGGACTAGACCGGAGCACGTACACAGGAATAGATAAGAAATAAAGCTCACAGCACATGGAATCCAGGAATAGGAATGGGAGTAGTAATACCAGAAGGGTAGGAGGAAGGTGGGGGCGGAGGGAGAGGAAGGGAGGAAAGGGGAACCGATCTCTACTGTCCACACATAACCATACACCCCTCTCCAGGAGGAAGAACAACAGAAATCCTGGGAGAAGGGAGACAGCAGTCCGGGTGAATATGAAAATAATAATAATTTATAATCCATCTAGGGGCCACGAGGGTAGTATGGGGGAGGGAAAAAAAGAGGAGCTGATACCAAGGGCTCAATAAAAAGTACATGTCTAGAAAAGAACGATGTCAACATGTACAAATATGTCTGATACAGTTGATGTGTGGATTGTAATAAGAGTTGTAAGTGCCCCCAATAAAATGATCTTGTCATGAAAAATTTTAAAGCAGTCTTGTACAGTAGGTTTACCTAATGCACTGTGTCCTTTGATCTCTTGATCGCCGTTTCCATGAGCACTGATTATGGATCCAAGCAAGAGAAAATTCTTGACTACTTCAATCGTTTCTCCATTTATCGTGATGTTACTTATTGGTCTAGTTGTGAGGGTTTTAATATTCTTTACATTGAGTTGTGTTTATATTGAAGGCTGCATGAATACGTCCTGAAACTAGAGCATTGTGTTACATAATACCCGAAAGTTCCTTTTTCTGTTATCTCCTTCCTTTAATAAGACTTAATTAGTATTAACACCCAGAATAAGGTCTTGGAGCTTTATGAAGACTTGGCATTTCATGGAGCAGTATCATAAGATGTAAAAGGTTAATATTAACACAACTTCTATATACTGAGACCAAATTCTCTAACTGAAAGTTTTCTGACATAGAGGTCAAAGAGCCCTAGCTGCGTAGTGGATTACACATTGGGCCGCTATCAGCAAGGTCTTCAAGCCTCAGAAAGGGAGGCTTTCTGCTGCCAGAAAGATTTACAGCTTTGGAAACCCACAGGGGCAGTTCTGCTCAGTCCTATAGGCTCGCTGTGAAATGGCATTGACTTAGTGGCCATGAGTTTAGTAGCGACCACAAGGTCTCTAGGTAGAGCAAATGGTTTATACTTAACTGCTAACCTAAAGGATCATCCCGCTGTACCATGACAGAAATGTCCTGGTGGTTTGCTTCCCTAAGATCACAGCCCAGAAAGCACTAGGGAGCAGTTCTATTGTGTAACACATGGGGTCTCCGTGAGTCAGAAGTGACTAGATGGCAGCTAACAGCAACACGTGGTTAGCCAATTTCTTGTAGAGGGAATTCCAAGCTGCATACACATTTGAACGGCCTTGAAGATTTGAGTGCTTTCATTACTTAAAATTTGATGTAGAGAAAGTGATGCCTCTCTGCTGGGCGACTGAAACATTTATTGAACATTTACTACATGCAAGGCTTAGTGAAGCATAGGCATTCTGTAACCTTTTTGCTTGTCTTGAAAACAAACAGTTGGAGGTAGTCTGTGTTATGTAGCCATACTAAGATGTTAGTATTTAAGCGTTACTGTTAAGGTATGTACTTATTTCCCTGCCTAGGATGAAGAAATATAAAATGAGCTAAGCAAATTTGTTGTGTTGTATAGATGGATATTAAAATTCATTGCACATGATAGTCCCAAAAACACTTGGACTCATAGAGTCTAGAGCTCCTCCTTGGTGTTTTCTGTACATACACTCATACCACATTGAGGGTCTTTTATGTAATGTCTTGTTGAGAAGAAAAGCCTCCATTTCAGTTCAACCGCATCTTACTTTATGAAGAAACAATAAATAAATGTGTATATCCCTATATAAGCATTTCCTTGTTCTGCATTACATATAGCCTTATGTTCCTAATCCGATCACAGAGCAGTTTTCTCTTCTGGGCCCTTCAAATTATACTTGGTCAGTCATTTAACCAAGCCCTTGGTTATATCACTGGTCATTGGTTAGATCAGTGACCAAGGATAATTTTATTTGGGATTTAATGTCTAGGTTGTCAGGTTGTTTCTTTATAAACAACAGCAATTTTTTCCTCTTCTCAGAACATAGTAAATGCTTAATAATAACCCTCTTCATTTGTCAGTCCTTTTAAGTGAAGATTTTAGAGAAACCCATGAATGGCAAAGGAGGCTGTGAGTGAAGAAAGAGTCATGCCTTAAAGCAGGGGTCCTCAAATCTTTTTTAAACAGGGGGCCAATTCACTGTCCCTCAGACCCGTTGGAGGTCCGGACTATAGTTAAAAAAAAAAACTATGAACAAATTCCTATACACACTGCACATATCTTATTTTGAAGTAAAAAACAAACGGGGCAAAAACACCCGGCGGGCCGGATAAGTGTCCTCGGCGGGCCGCAGTTTGAGGACCCTGCCTTAAAGTCTTTTTCCTTGAACTTGAGTATCGGTCTGCCTAGTCTGCTGAGGAGTAGAAAGCGAAAGAATGAACAGCAAAATAAACATATACAACTTTGACCCTGGTACCCACCGCACCAAGGGGCTATAGAAGCCACATAATAAAATGGGTCTCCTTGAAAACTTGGCTTGACTTAGAAACCATTTATTTATTATCATAGAAGAAGATTGATCCAGGAAGGGTTAACCATGCTTCTTTTTTTTTAAGCCTCTAGCATGGAGAACTGAACCTGCTCTTCAAATCTCTGTGCCAAGGGTCAGTTATTTCTTTACATAGGTTGCCAGTTAGCTAATCATTTGTCTTAAGTGTGACATTACCGTGTAATATTCTGGTTTTGTGTGTTTAAACAGTTTATCTACAAACTTCAAAAGTTTTGAGGGGTTTTGATTTTAAAAAGGTCTTGAAATAGGAGAGACTGTCATAGTGTAACTTTCCCATTGCAGATGCTGTGAAGCCACCTGGCCCCTCCTTGCAAGCAGCTGATTTACCTTTAGCTATAAATACAGCACCACCCTGCACACTGATGGAGCCAGCCTCTGCTATTCTACCTCCTCCCTACCAGATAATTAACCTTCCACAGCACCTGGAGCCTCTTGGCATCCAGGAGGATCCTCAAGACTACCTCTTGCTAATCAACTGTCAAAGCAAGAAGCCTGAACCCATGAGGTAAGTCACATGTGTGTATGTGTGCATGCGTGTGTGTCTGTGTAAGTTTAAGAATCCCACTTTAAGCCATCTGCAGAGGTTTATCTTTCTGGTTTGCATTCTTCCATGATGATTTTTGATATTCAGGAGATTTTTATCGAAAGCATCCAGTCTCTGCCATCTTTGACCAAGGAACCATTTAATCCACAAGGCTCCTTGGGAATTCTGTCTATACGTTCATAGTCTTGGTTACAGACTTGACAGTCTTACTTGCTTAACACAGTTCACTGGTTTCTAAATGGTGATCTTGCTCCATTTCTTATGTGATTGTAAACCAGCCAAGGGTCACCTTTGGTTTCTGAAGAAGGCGAGGACTATCTACTACTAGAAGATTTTGAAAGCAAAACGATTCCATTGCAGTGAGTGTGTTGTTTTGGATCTGTGTGAGAAATTACTCATATAGGTAAAATCCCAATATAGCAAATTCGATGGACTGTAGTGATGATAATGAAAGTTGATAAATACATGGCTAAAAACCGCCTTTCAGGCCTCCCTACCCAGCAGTGAAGCACTCGAGCTTTACTTTTACAGAGCACTAAGGAAGAGGAAGTATGTGGAATTCAGTGCATGGCCGGAAGAGTCATAATTCTTTCCCAAATCCTCAGTTTTCCTGTCACTTTCCAGGCTGGTGTCACATCCCTCCTCTTCTAACATATACAGTGTTTTAATTCGATCATTCTGGTCCTCTAATGTTGGATGCTTGAAGTGACAAGAGGGAGCTGGAGCGCAGTGTTGCTGTGTGAGGAGTGAGAGGCCCGTCTCTGCCATCAAGAGCGATGTGGTGGTAAAACCACGGAGTTCTGTGACTCAGAGACGTCACTGGTTACCTGGTACTTCATGGGACTTTGCAGAATAAACAGGAGAGTGCTATGTGCCTAATAAACGTGAAAGATGTTTCTAAGCAGGAGGTTATAAGATATAAAATATCTTTATGAGAAAAACAATTATTTTTCATGCAGAAAAAGTTACTATTACATGGGCTAGGCACAGACAAAGCACTTATTCAAAATGATACATTTATAATTTGCTAAGATCCACAGGTATTCCAAAGATGGGCTTTTAGGTATTTGTTGTAATGGGATTTTACCTGTAAGAACAAAGAATAATTACATAAATCAGCACTAGTTAATCTCAGATTCTAATTTGATTTTGTCTGTGTGCTGTGATAATTTAAAACTGTACACTTGCAACTCTGTAAGCTGTGCTACTAACTTTTTACTTTATGGAACTTTGAAATTGCTTTTCAATGTCCAGTTTTTCAAAATCAACAGCTAAGTGACATTTTTTCAGTATCTTTTTTTATTTTTGTATCTTATCTTCCAGTGATATACTGGTACCACAGCTTTCTGTTGTAATTGAAGAAATTACCATATATACTTGAGTATAAGCAGACCCAAATATCAGCCGAGGCACCTAATTTTACCGCAAGAACTGCTGAAAAATTTGGCATATCCACGAGTATATACGGTATGCTGAAAATCATTGCTGAGCTGTGTTCTGCAGAAGTGAACACGGAATAACAAATACCTATAACTCAAAAACTCCCTGCCATCGAGTTGATTCCAGCTCATAGAGACGCGCTAGGACAGAGTGGAACTGCCCCTGTGGGTTTCTGAGACTGAATCTGTGCAGGAGTAGAAAGCCTCGTCTGTATCCCGCCGAGGGGCTGGCGGCTTCAAACTCCTGACTCTGTGGTTAGCAGCCTAACATGTAACCCACTATGCCACGAAGTCTCTGAAATACCTGTAAAGTACCTACTGTTTGCCCACCATTTTGCTAGATGCTGTGGAAGTCCCAACGAATTATGTTCATATTAGATAGCATCCCTTCAAATAAAGTTGCCTTCAGAGTATAGAAGCAAATTTTAGGAAGTCAAAGTCTATCAAACATAAGTATTTATAGAATTAAGTCAACTATTATAAGAGTTGCCCTGCAAACTCTTGTTCATCCTACATGACTCCCCTCAGTCATGTGCTCCTCTAGGAACCAGTCTTCAGACTTCTAGGATGGAATAAATATCACCACCACCACCACCACCACCCCATTGCTTTAAGCCCTGGAAGTGAAGTTACTTATGCATTAGGCTAATAAAGCAAGATCTACAACACAGCCTGCCAAGCACTCCTTGAAGAAAGGGTGCGGCTGTCTGTTTCTGTACAGATTGGCAGCCTCCGAGTCCTGCAGAGGCTGTGAGTCAGAATTAACTCAATGGCAGTAGGTTTGGGTTTCCATAGCATGCTGGTCAGCCTCCACGTCGCAATCATAGTAGTGGAAATGGCTTGATATTTTTGTGTGCTCACCACTACATTGTAAACTAGCCAAGGACACTGAAAATCATTGCTCGGCTGTGTTCTGCACTTATTACTCCTTATACCTCTAGCCACTCTTAACTTGCATGTTTGAATAAATAAAGTGCAGAATTTAGATGTGCCGAGGTGCTTGACGCACTCCAAGATGAGATGGTGCAAATATTTTTAAGACAGAGAATATGGCATAGGAGTAATGGGCTTCGAATTCACGCCGAATTGGTCAGAGGTAGGAGAATGCCATTAGTAATTTGAAAAGGAGAGGTAGGAATGGGGGTGGTAGGGTGATAGGGATGAGATAACAAAGGGGAAAGTCTTCCTGGAGCAAAGGGTTTGTTTCTGTGAATAGTGGGAAATAAGATGAGACAACAAAGTTAGAACTGAATTATTAGTTGTCTCAATACACAGTGAAGCACTGTGTGGTCCTCATGTAGTCCCCGCTACTTATATGGACCCTTCATAGGTTTTTCTCGGAGTAGATGAGTGATATGAAAATTGTTTTGAAAATATTGATCTTATAACAGCATACGTAGTACCAGGAATAGGGATGTGATGAAGTCAACTAATTTATATAAATCTCAGCAAAGACATTGGGCTGAATGTGAGGTAGTGATGGTGGCAATAGGGTTGGGGCCACCAAGACCTGGGCAGGAAGTCAAGTAAAGTGCATTTGGGGTGGGGCACTTCAGGCAAAGCAGAAACGCCCTCTAAGCAGCTTGAAAATCTAGAAACCAAGAGTTTGGTGTGAAGAAGGGAGTTGTGATCCTTCAGTGGAAGATGAAGTTAAGGCAAACGTGAGAAAGGATTTGGGGACTGAGCCAGGAGGAGAGGAAAGAAAGAGCCAGTTAGCTGAGGCACAGGAGTAACCGGAGGGGAGAAGCGGTATCTGAGGACCACAGCATGGGTTCTCTGATCCCAGTGGGAGCAAGTTGAATGAACGAACGAACGCATGCGACACCCAGCACCAGCTATCGCTCAGAAACCAAAATAGCTCCAGAAGTAGAGAGTTTAAATTTCCACAAGACTATGAAAAGCATGCATAGGTAGTGGAGTTTATCTTCATATTAAAGAAGTATGAGTTAAAAAAAAAAAAGTATGAGTTGCTGATATCTTTAGTGTCACTTTGGCTTATGCCCAATTTTGTGATGTCCTGAAATGTGAAGATTGAAAAGGTATGCAAAGCATAAACTATTCTCCAGGATGATTTCTCAAGAATAATTATTGCTCAAATTGGTCAAATCTGCTTTCTATTTTGATCCTCTTTGTCATAGAGGCTAAATGCTTTTGTTTTGTTTTTTTAATGAGTAGAAAGGAATATATCTTACTAAGCTGCCACCTCCATCTAGGTCGCCATGAAATGGTTTAATACCGTGGTGTCACTTAGTTTTACAGAACAATGAGGTTACCGATGGCGGGCGAAGGAACAAATGTAGAAATCGGACTGCCACTGGGTTTCTGGCTGCTTTTCAGAGGAAAACTCTTCTGTGCCTTAATCATTTACCTTTCTGACAGTTTTGTATCTAATCCCAGTGCTTTGGAAATGGCGGTTTTAAGTGTGGATTTAATAGAGGAGTTAAGAGTATGAAGAGATAGGAGATAGGAATTATTGTTGACTCTGTTGTAGCGGTTATGTTGTCTGGTGTACAATCATGAAAGCAGAAACGAAAAAAAATGTGCTTGGAATCTACAGATCATACTCTAAAAAGCCATGTGTTTTTTATTGCTATGCTATAAATACATTTATTGAAATGCAATTTCAACATTTTTATCATACTCAACTTTTTCCCCCTCTCCTTATGACCATCTTGATTTTAGAACACATGCTGACTCGGCAAAATCCTCCTCGTCGGAAACAGACTGCAACGACAATGTCCCTTCTCATAAAAACGCCGCTTCTTCCCAGAGCAAGCATGGGGTGAATGGCTTTTTTCAGCAGCAGATGATGTACGACTGTCCCCCGTCACGTGCTGCATCTGTCACTGTAGACTCCAGCCTTTATAACCTGCCCAGGAGCTATTCCCAGGATGTTTTACCAAAGGTGTCTCCATCGAGTACTGAAGCCGATGGAGAACTCTATGTCTTTAACACCCCATCTGGGACGTCGAGTGTAGAGACTCAGATGAGGCATGTATCTATTAGTTACGACATTCCTCCAACGCCCGGGAACACCTACCAGATCCCCCGAACATTTCCAGAAGGAACCTTGGGACAGACGTCCAAGCTAGAAACTATTCCAGATATTCCTCCACCTCGGCCACCAAAACCGCATCCCGCGTATGACCGGTCTCCTGTGGAAACGGGCAGCATCACCCGCACGGCCTCCGACACGGACAGCAGTTACTGCATTCCTGCAGCAGGAGCGCAGCCATCACGGAGCCATACCATTTCCACTGTGGAGCTAAACAGATTGCGGAAAGGTCAGCTCTGGTGGGCATATGTATCGTCTCTCAGATTTCATGATCGGGAGTCAGTTGTTCGCAGTATTTGTTGTACTGTGCCTAGTGGGATGGTAAATGATGGTCCTCTCCTCCTTACACTCCCCCACTCCTACCTCCGTGGTGGAGTCGCCTGCTCATATAGCAATGACACTAGTTTCAGGAAGTCTCCGGAAGAGAAGGCAAGTGTGCACGAATGAATGCCTGTGCGTGCTCTGCTGCAAAGAGGAAAAAGTGGGGTTTTTTTCACCTCTGAACACGAATGACCTTCAAAATGTCTTCCTCGCTCCCACTTGCTGTATTTCCTGGACGAGGCAGAGGAGCAGGAAATGGACCAGCCACCAAGCACCCGGGGTTACAGCCTTTCCTGTATCTGTGTCAATACGGACACCTCTCTGTCACATCTGTTGTGTTTCCTTCCTTCCTGTAAGGGCCGTTTTCTCATGGAGCCTGACAAGCAGTGTTCAGTTCCGCCCAGGCCATGGTATTTTTTGTTGGTTTGCTTTTAGTTTTATGTGTGGAATCTCCCTTCCCAATTGTCTCTAGCCACTTCCAGAACTGCTGCAGTTGAACATGATTTTCCTAAACAGTCTCCCAAAGACCGCCACCAAACGTTACATACTGTGAAAGGAGCGAGCTGGGGCTGGGTTGTTCTCTGAGATTCTTAAATTCCTAATATGAAAAAGCCAACGTTTTAAAACGTTTCTCTAAAATCTCTTGGTGCGTTTTGCAATAGGATTATCGCATCCAGAAGAATGTAAAAAGTTTTGTTGTTGTTGGCTTGTTTGGGGAGGAGGTAGGAGTTTTTGTTGTTGTTGTTTGGTTTGGTTTGTTTCATGAAGAATTGGGTAAACGTTTACAGAGCAGATCTTGGCTTTATAGCCGGCAGTTCATGCACGTCCTGGTTCAGCCCATCTGTTGCGATCCTCTTCCGTGTGCGCTCATTTCTCCCACTTCCTCTCCGTGTGCCCTGCCTCCGTTCCTCCTCCTCTCCTAACCCTCCAGACGCCGTCCTTTTGATCTGAAATAGTTCATTATTCGGATGCAGGGGTGAGTTTAGTCTCAGGCCTGAAGGGTAAAGGCCATATCCTTTGACATCCCACCAATCTCTATCCAACTAATAAACCTGATCTCTTTTATAATTTCCAATTTTGAAATCTTCATGAACTTGAAGATTTAAGACACCATGAGTGGAACTTATATTGATATTTATTTAGCTATTCATTACTATTTTCTAATTCTCTTCTTGAAGTACGTGAAAAACTTGGTTAGGAGGGTTTTTTCCCCCCAAGGTTCTGCAAAAGATGAAAAAATAGAGGTATTTCTCTCCATCTTCTGATAACCCTATCTTGTTCCAGGCCTATGCATTTACTCACTGTTGTAATCATATACTGGTATTGGTTAGCTTAGGCGTATCTGTGCTCAGTTTACCAATTGAGGATACTGTTGTGTGAGCTGTGAACGTTCCTTTAGAAGTGTGTGTGTGTGTGTGTGTGTGTGTGTAAGAGATTGAGCTATTGTGTGTGGGAAATGAGGGAGAACTCTTAGGCTGCCGTTCCTCCCTCACCCTAAAACCCGACAAAGATGGGAAGAAATGGTGATGGTTTGTTCTCTGTTTTAGATGCCAGCTCTCAAGACTGCTATGATATTCCACGCACATTTCCAAGTGACCGCTCTAGTTCGCTGGAAGGCTTCCACAACCACTTTGTAAGTATAATCTCCTTTGGCACCCTGAATTGTACACTGTTGTCAGAACCTGCTGTTAGCACCCTGCGACCAAGGAGACCTTGAAAGAACAGTACCCTCCTGTCCATGGGAGTTGGTGTGACTTGCGTGTGTGTTTGCCCATTTAACAACAGTGGTTGTTTCTTAAAAGAAATATCTATGTTTTTAGAAAATAAAAAATGTGTTTACCGTGGGAAGTGTATCAAGCGAGGAACTGGATGAAAATTATGTCCCTATGAATCCCAACTCGCCTCCGCGGCAACACTCCAGCAGTTTCACAGAACCCAGTCAGGAAGCCAACTATGTACCCATGACACCGGGGACATTCGACTTCCCTTCCCTCGGAATGCAAGTGCCTCCTCCTGCTCATATGGGCTTCAGGTCCAGCCCCAAGACCCCTCCAAGAAGACCAGTGCCTGTTGCAGACTGTGAACCACCCCCCGTGGACAGAAACCTCAAGCCAGACAGAAAAGGTAAGGAGAGCATAGAGTCAAGAAAGGATCCGGGTGCCCATTTATATCCACATGTAAATGTCCTGAGGTCCAGGATGGCATTGGAGGGAGGGATTCTGAAGTATTTCAGAGTACCTGAGTAGAGCAGTGTTGCTATTTATAGGTTAACAATGATCATGTTACAGGTTGATGCCCAGGTGAGGTTTAGGTCCCCTATCTCTAGAACAGAGGTTACAAACTAGCCCCACAGGAATTGGTGGGCAACAGGAGAAATTAAGGAAAAATGGACACTTGCCCCATCTACACGGGGCACCAACTACTGGCCTCCAGTCCTTTGTTGGTTTGTGAAAATATAAGGTCATAGTTTGTGAAAATAAAAGAACTGGTATTTAAACAGCAGCCAGCCATTTGCACTTTATATGTGTTATTTCTTGATTGTGTACGTTCCGTGAGAGCAGCGCCGACCAGGGCAAGGCTTTGTTCTCTTGTACACAAGGTCGTGACAATTTGGGACCCACTCTGTGGCACCCAGCCACATGGACCTGTTTATTCTTTCCATTCTGCCGGTCTAACAACTCCTTTAACATTATCCCACCCTCGCCTCGAGGCCAGCAGTGGGAACCCCCCCCGCAGCTCCCATAAATAGTTACAGTCTCAGAAACCCGAAGGGGCAGTGCTAGCCTGTCCAAGAGGGTCGCTATGAGTCGATTGACTCCGTGGCAGGGAGTGTTTGGTATACTGCGGTTTGAGTAAGTGCTTCTCGCCTCTCCGTCCATCCCGGCTTTCGTAGGTAACAGTTCATTGTAAAGAAGTGTGCTCTGTTAAGAACTCAGTGGCAAAGAAACGTTCCACCCAAGTTGATAATACATACCCAGGCTGCTCAAAGTTGGGGTTGCAATAGTTAAAACGCAGACTGCACGCTGCGTTGTGGCATGCTGTTGGCGTGGCTTCCTCGTGAGAACCAAGGAAATGAGTGTCCTGCCTGTGTGAAGAGTGGGGCAATTTCTGGCTCACCACAGGGGCCTCCGCATTTGAAAAGTCTCATGCTGGATTCGCTTTTGACGAACCTGTCTTGATTGTACACATTCTCATTAACCTAGATAATTACTGTTGGTTCTAACTATATTCCAGTTGTGGGGAACAGAGCCTGAGACTCACCCAGAATATCTTAGGAAAAAAGATTCTTTTGTATTTTGAGCAAAGACACAGAGCACAGAAACTACCTAGTTCTTGGGAGCGAAGGAGATTCTAGGGGACTCCTTTTATAACCTGCTCATTCTCTCTCCTGCTATTTCCTCTCTCCGTCTGTGTTTCGCTCCCATGGCAGGTCCTTGCATCGCTTTGATCTCTCACTGCCAGTTTGCATCCTCTTTCCTCCCTTCTTTTTTCCCGTCTGGTCTGTAACCCCTTCTTTAAATGGCTTCTTCCTCCCAAGAGCTCTGGCCTTTGATGCTTCTCTGTGGCCTTGGTTCAGCCTCTTGGCTGCTTTCTGTGTGCTCAGGCAGCATTGTCGTCTGCTGCTAATTGCCTCATTCATTATTTACTCGTTTCAGATTGCTACAAGAGAATTTGACTAGTCCAGTTTGTCTTTCACACCAGGCTGCGTGATTGACAGTAGGCCAAGCCACAGACTGCCTGCTCTTGAGTCAGGCACTTACCTTTGGTCTAAACTGCTCGGTAGACAATTCTGTGTGACACCCACAGCCACCAGACAGCCCAGGCAGAAGGCGGTGTTCAGGGGTGGTTCTCAGAGAAAGCTTGTGTGTGTGTCACTGGTTTTTCACTTGATCATTTTTCTCCTTCCGTGTTCCTTTGATCTTCATTTGCCATTCAGTATGTGTTGGTCATTATTAGTCAGTTTGATTTTTGCATGCAATGTACAAAGGTATGTCTGGACATGGTAGGTTTATGATTCTGTTCACAGAGCACTGGAGAGTTTAAAATACGAGTGTGCGAGTGCTTTGAATGACTGACATATCTCTTTCACTGCTCAGTGCCTGCTTTCCATAGTCTCCTGTGATTAGAGCATGTTAGTGATGGATCACTGTTCTTGAACCCGGGACTTAGCTGTTTTATATCATGGAGGAAGGAATGGGCATTCCACTGATGAGGCATTAGCCACAGAAACCTTATAAATAGCCACAAAACTGGTCAAGTACAAAGAGGATGAGCCCCTCAGGTTGAAAGGCGCTCAACATTCGACGAATAGAGCTGCCTCCTCGGAGTAGACTCCACGTTAATGATGTGGAGGGAGCAATGCTTTTGAGGCTCTCATTTGCTGGTAATGCATGACACAAAAATAAGAAGCAACTGTAAACACCCATGAATAATCAGAACGTAGAATGTACAAAATGTGAATGTCAGAAAATTAGAAGTTGTGAAAAAGGAAATGGGCTGCTTGAGGATAGCTATTGTAGGTACTTGTGAACTTCAATTGACTGATTTGCACTGGCTATTTTGAGTCATAACCATATGGTCCACTGTACTAGATAAGTTGCAGAAGAACAGCATTGCATTCGTGCAAAAAGTGCTGTCAAGATGCATCCTAACACACAGTGATAACAGCTAGGGCAATAGCCCTACACCTGCAATGAAGACCAGTTATTATGACTTACTCTTCAGATGTACACAAATGTGGAGGATGAAGAAATTAAACATGTTTACCAGGTTCTGCAATGTGAAGTTGATCGAGCAAGCAAGCCAGTAGCAGTCAAGAGGTCAAAAGACACATTACATTGGGTAAATCTGCTGCCCAAGACCTCTTTAAAGTATTGAAAAACAAGGCTGTTACTTTGAGGACCAAGGTGTGTCTCACCCAGGCCATTTTAAATTGCCTCGTACACATGTGAGAGTTAGATAATGAATAAGGAAGACCTGAGAAAAATAGATGTATTTGCATGGTGGTGTTGGAGAAGAATGTTGAAAATCCCACGGACTGCTGAAAGGACAAACCAATCTGTCTTCTCAGAAGTACCACCAGAGCTCCTTGGTGGCAAGGGTGGGGGAGTTCATCTTTCTTACTTTGGACCTGTTGTCAGGAGAGACCAGTCCCTGGAGAAGGACATCATGTTGGGTAAAGGAGAGTGGCAGTGAGAGAGAGGAGGGGCCTCAAGGAGATGGGTTGTCGCTGTGTCTGCAACAACGGGCTGGAGCATAGAAACAGCGGTGAGGGTAGCGCAGGCCAGGCCAGACCTGGCTGTGCGTAAGGTCTCTCTGAGTCGGAAAGAACTCAGTGGTACCTAACAACAACAGAAGAAGCGGCAACTGGTCATCTCGCTTACTTGGACATGTTGTCAGGAGGGATCGATCTCTGGAAAAAAGTAACAAACTTGCGAAATTAACGGACTTGTTCAAAGAGGAAGACCCTCAACCAGAAGGACTGACCTCGTGGCCACAACGTTGGGCTCAAACATAGCAGTGATTGTGAAGATGGCAGAGGACCAGGCAGGGTTTCACTCTGTTGTACCTCAGACTTGCTCCGAGTTACAGCTGACACAAGAACACCAAACAACAGTACTGCAGGAACAGACAAGACTAAGACAACCCTCCGTACTTTGGATTTCTGTTTCCCTCCTCATATGCTATATTAGACTGTTGTTTTTGTTTGACTTTTAATGCTGTGTGGAACATAAATGCTGAATTCAGTTTTAGCGGACATTAAGGGAAACAGTGCTAACAAACTGCCTAGGTAGTACAGCACATTTCAGTACAGAGTCTGCTGTGACTCTCGCCCTAAAATCAACCCTAAGCTTTGCTTAGGTTGTTCATGTACATTTTATAAATGTACTGTTAAAAAGGTCACTGCTATTATAAATAAATAAATATATATTTATTTATATACATATAAATATATATACTATGGAAAGATAAATTTTTAAACAAGGAGGATTATGGAAAATTTTGAGAAGACTTGTCAGGCACCGCAGTATCATGCCCCTGGATCCACACGTCTGATTCTGCCTCGTAGATGCTCCCTGAGATCATGTGACGGCTTTGAAAATCACTTAATTCACATTGTAGGCATCTCAAAACCACTGGCATTTTACATTTTATCTTGATGGTGAACAACAAGAGATAACCATCCTTCGCTATTTAATTCAGTGGAGCTTTTTTAGAGGGTTTCCTCTGTGCTTAACCTCTGTTTAGAGGGGCTTCAGTAAGTTCAAAGAGAAAATTGCATTATCTCTGCCTAATTTTCCCAAGAACTTTTAAAAACCCCTTCATATTTGGTAAGATGAAGCAAGGCAAAATGCTATCTTTTATCTTCCAATTTGAAGTCCTTAAAATTTGGGTAGGGGAACTTAATGTATGCAAAAGAACAATGGAAATACTCTGCTAAGAATAATTACAACAGGGAATAAAGATGTGTGGGTGAGATCATGAACCTTAAGGCTGGGTTCAAATTCCACTTCTTCCTTTCTTTACCAGTGTGACTCAGGGCAAGTTACCATATATACGCGAGGATAAGCCGAGTTTTTCAGCCCCTTTTTTATGCCATATTTGTGGTAAAATTGGGTATCTCGGCTGATATTCGGGTCAACTTATACTTGAGTATATATGGTATATAACCTCTCCAAGTCTCAACCCCATAGGTAAAATCAATGAAATCTGTTTTAATTGTACCTGCCTCAGAGGGTTGGAATGAGGATTGAATGAGTTGTTAGAATGCCTACCATATAATAAGCCCTCAATTGATATTAATTATTTAAGTATAGTGGTAGTTCTCAAGAAAGTTTTTGGGAATGTATTCGTGCTTGAGCTTTGTGTAGACATTTTAGACATGAGTTAGAGAATAGATGAAATATATTGGTGATAAAAGAATAAAGGGGAAAGCATGTGCTTAATTGTGGGCCATCAAGGAATTTCCAACTCATAGCACCCCTATATCACAGAGTAGAACGGCCCCACACACTTTCCTGGGATATAAATCCTTTTTTCTTCCTTTCTTTTTAACAGTTTGATTTGCATATAATTCACATGTCATGTAATTTGTTATAGGTCAGTCATATCAAGAGGAACTGTACAGTCATCACCACAGGAAGCCACAGATCTCTTCTCCTATAGACCCACTGGGTAGGAGATGAGAAGTTTGCACCACCAATCTCTCACTTAGTGAGCAAGCACGTAACCGTGGCACTGCCAGCTCTCCGTAAGAAGCTGTGGTGGGGAAACAGATAAGAGGATGGTCTAACCAGATCAGAGCACAATTCAGAAGGAGCAAATTACATAAAAAACCCAAAGCATCTGTACCTCAGTCTGTGGTACCGTCAGTACTTTCCAAGACTGCTCCAAATTACCAATGGAGATTCTGTTAATATCTGTAGCAGCATCACTGACTGTCTTGAATTGTAATTCATTGAGATTTGGAATTACCTGGTACCACGTGGTGCTCCTTGGATGCAGTCTGGCCTGTAACTGCTTCTCACTGTTATTGTCATGTCCTTTCAGTCTGCAGAGCATTCTCCTAGATGGAGAAGACTAAAGCAAGAGAGGAGTTGAATTGCTCTTGGTTTTCTATTAAAATTATTCTCTCTACCTTCCCAGGAAATGTATTTGTTCATGCACTGCTTTTCTTCCTCAAGGCATAGGTTTTTAAAGATCCTCCTTCATTATTTTTCATAAGCTTCTGGTCCTTTAGAGGTTTAGTTGTCCAGCTAGCATTTATACAGGCATGAGTAATCTTCTTAATGACCTTAGTGGTCTCCTCTTTCCATATTAGTGCTTAAATTCAAAGCTTTTTTGTTGTTGTTGTTGCCGCTTGGTACATCCTTAGCTTTTGAAGGACAAATCTAGTGGATCAAAGGAAATGGTTATTAACAATAAAATAACCCTGAGGTTTTTTGCCTAAGGAGCCAGGAAATGGTGCCATTGCTGCAGCTGTGGAAGGTGACAACTGTAAGGTGACCAGACATCCCGCTTTGGGCGGGATAGTCCCGATTTTTAACAATTTTTTCCCACATCCCGCGGCGTTTTAAAACAGTCCCAATTTTTGGAAAGAACGCATGACAAGCTAGGGTATACAGTTTTCGGCTGCCATGTGACTATTTCGCCAGGTTATGAGTTTTATCAATGGTGTCCCGCTTTACCAATGTTAAAATCTGGTCACCTTAGACGAATGGCACTGGTTTGGAGGTTAGATGGGGGCAGTTTGATTTCACTGATTAGAGGGATAATTGGCATAAACTGTCAAGCTAGTGAAAAGGCCTTTGAAACTAGAAAACATAGTTAAGATAGCAGGGACCTGTAAAATTAAATGCACAAAATGACCATTGTGGAATACCCACAGTTAGAAAATCAGAATTTTGCTAAAGAACTAATGAAAATGAATCTTCCCCCAAAAAAGATTTGGACTGAGGACACACTGGCCAAAATCAAACATCCAAGTCAATACAGTGCCTCCACAAACAGCATCCGGGTGTTCAGCATAATATCAGCTGTCCATGAGATGTAATAAGTGCATTTATTTTCTCTGGTTGAGTTTCTTAGTTTGTGATCGTAGCAGAAGCAGGCAATGAAATCTGGAAACTGAGAGAAGTGGAGACTAACAAATATTCCTACTCATAAACGCTGAGTTTCCTAAGAATCCCTATTTCCCAAGAAGAATATAACATACCACATCAGAAACCTTCAGTCAGTCAGTTGTTGGCCTCAGCAAACCCCTTTACTTCTTTGTTTTTCTGAGGCTAGCTGATCCAGAATTTGAAGAGACTGGATGTGATCGCTAAGGCTCTTTGAGCTCTAAATGAATGTGGTTTTCTCACACTAGAACTACCCTCTACCTACTTTTTTTGGAAAAGCAGTATGCTGTTCGGGGGTGTTTAATAAGCGTATCTCTTCTTTCATTTTAGAAACAGTAGTCTGCCGGGGCAGGTGCCGCGTTGATGAAGTTTTAAGGTCATGGCCCAGATATATTCTAGGGCTGATTCACTTCTGAGTAAACTCAATGGAGTTGATTGCCCAACTTAGAAAGTTGGACAATTAGAGGATTCTCTTTTTATAAGCTCAGAAAATCACATTTTAGGACATCTTTAATAGGTTTGGGTGGATAAGGTGATGGAGTCAGTGTGACTAATAGCAGCCCTGTAGGACAGGGTAGAACTCCCCTTTCAGTTTCCGAGACTGTAACAGTTTGCAGGAGTAGAAAGCCCGTTTTTCTCCTGCAGAGTGGGTGGTAGTTTCAAACTAGGGGCCTTTCGGATCACAGACTCACGTGTGAACCATTCACCACCAGGGCTGATAAAGTGCTAGATGTCAGCATTTAACCAGCAAGTTCTAATTTTACTATCAAAGAGATGTTGGTGCAACTCTGTAACTGCCAAGTGAAAAGGAACATGTGATGCCGTAACAATGTTGTTGTGTGCCATCGGGTTGATTCCCACTCAGCGACCACATGGGGCAAGGTAAACTGCTTTGTGAGGTTTCCCAGGTGAATCA